GACGAGCAAGTGGAGAAGAGGGTAAGGCTTTGGAAGGTCAGTCTTGAAAACTACCAGACCTTCTTTCTGAAGGTTGGATTCGTTGTTTAGTTTCAAGGTGGGGAATGAGGAGAGAGAGAATAAAGGTACATGTTTGTGTACCTTTTAAGTGACGAATGTTCGGGATACAAGGATGCGTTCAATGTCTGGTAACCTGTTCTTTTGGTGTAACCGTAGGTTTTTTTGTGGAAGTCCAGTAGCGGCTGTAGTAGGCCGTAGGTGTAAAGATAGTGCGTTCACGGTCAGTGCCAGCAGCAAGAACAACTTCTTTATTTTTAAGCGCGCGCTCCTTTTGTCTCTTCGCGTGCACGCAGTGATCCTCCCGCTAGCATATGGTACATCCTCCTTTCTTTGAGGGAACAAAGATGTACACAACAACCACAAGCAGCGCGTGAAGCGGGCTGTACTCGTTTAGATTAGTTCTGCCTGTTGGAAGCCTTTTATGTAGCCCAGGCGTTGTGGTAGCCTTCTAGGTCTCTTGGACTGAGGTCCTGCTCCTGATGACGCCTGCTCAAGAGCGGGTAAGGTCGGTGGGTGAGGCGACACCTGGTTTCGAGGAGGCTCTGGTGGTGAGGGAGACTGTGATCCTGAGGGAGGCTGTGATCCATCTCTTGATGGTGGCAAGCAATCGCCGTTGTCGTCCTCTGAGTCGCTGTCGTTGATGGAGATGAAGAAACCTTCCGGTGTCTTTCGAAGATGCTGTCGGTTACGGCGGAGGATCCGGCCGTCCTCGGTAAGCACCGTGTAAGACCTTGGGGCCACCAAGCCTTGCACTTGTGCTTTACGCTCCCATCGCCCGTTGTTAAGGATTCGCATGATGTCTCCCTGCTGAAGAGGAGCTAGCTGTCTTCCTTTCGTCTCGTTCTGGACGTGCTTTTTGACCGGAGATGCGGGAGACGCGGTGAAGTCGGGAAGTAGGGTTCGTAGTTCTCGACCCATCAGTAGTTCTGCGGGTGAGCGGCCATCTTCAAGGGGAGCTGCCCGGTAGTTGAGGAGGCCCAACCAAAAGTCTTCTTTGGCACTCTCCGTTTTTCGTAGTATACGCTTTACAACTTGTACACCTTCTTCAGCCAGACCGTTGGACCTTGGAAATATTGGACTTGAACAGTATGCCGAAAATCATAACGCGCAGCAAAATCCTTAAATTCTTTCGAGGAAAATTGTGGGCCCCCATCCGTGCAAACTTCAAGAGGTAAACCATAGCGGGCAAATATTTGAGCTAACTTGTCAATGACCACCTTTGCTGTGGTTTCTCGAAGGTGTTCCACTTCTGGATAATTTGAATAGGCGTCGTATACAGCCAAGTAGTGTTTACCGGAGTGTTGGAAGAGATCCGCAGCTACCCTGGACCAGGGATGGTTGGGAACGGTGCGGATCGAGAGAGGCTCGTCTGGCTGTCTGTAGGCAAACTTCTTGCAAGTTTAACATCTGTCGATGAAAGCGGTAATATCGGCGGTCATTGCTGGCCAATACATCAATCTTCGGGCCTTGGACAGGCATTTACCCAGCCCCAGATGGCCTTGATGTAGTCGTTTCAGCATCTCTCTTCGCATAGCTGTCGGAATGACTGCTTTCTTTCCTTTTAGCAGTACTCCGCTAACCACCGAAAGTTCTGGTGTAAACCGCTTCAGCTCACCTTCCACAGGTTTCGATGATTGGAGGCAGGTGATGACTCGCTGGAGAGCGAGATCGCTGACTGTCGCCTCCTGTAGGCGAGCTAGTGTGCCTTGGCCCACTACCTCAGAGAGGACGCCCACTGCATGCACTTCTACATCCGTCGTGGCCTCTCCCTGAGATGGATCTGATGGAATCCTCGATAAAGTGTCGGCAACCACCAACTTATTACCTGGGACAAGCTGCAACTCGAAATCATACTTCAGTAGTCGTAAAAATAGTCGTTGGAGACGAGGAGGCATGTCTCCTATTTCTTTTTTTGAAATGGCCAACAGCGGATGATGGTCTGTTTCGATGGCGATATGTTTTCCCAGTACGTAGTCGTTAAACTTTTCGCAACCGAAGACTATGCCCAAGGCCTCTTTTTCAATCTGAGCATACCGGCGTTCAGTATCAGTGAGGACCCGAGACGCGTAGCCTACCGCACGCCAGTCCATTCCATGCTGCTGAAGCAACGCAGCCCCTAGAGCAAATGCGGACGCATCAGTTGACAACTTGCTGGGCAACTCGGGATCATAGATTGCTAGAACTGGGGTCTGCGTCAGCATTTTTTTAGGTGCTCCCACTGACGATCATGTACGCTGGTCCATTCAAAAATGGTGTCGTTCCTAACTAGACTGCGTAGGGCCTCCGTTTGAGACGACAGGTGTGGTAAATATTTCCCGAAGTAGTTCACTGCACCAAGGAGGCGTTGAACTTCCTTTTTTGTCGTTGGAGTAGGGTGCCGTACAACGCAGCTGATCAAGTCCGGGTGCGGTTCAATTCCGTTGGAACTGATTCTGTCGCCAAGAAAGTTTATTTCTTTTTGGCCAAAGGTGCATTTGTCCGCATTCAGCGTCAGTCCCTCAGCTTGTGCTGTTGCCAACGCCTTGCGAAGTCTTTTGTCATGTTCTTCTCGTGTGGCGCCCCACACCAGTACATCATCTATGTACACACGCACACCAGGGAGATCGTCGAATATCTGGCTCATTGTGCTCTGGAATACTTCCGGAGCTGAAGCGATTCCGAAGGGTAGCCTTAGATATCTGTAACGACCAAACGGACTGCTGAACGTGCAGATCTTCGAGGTCTGTTCATCAAGCGGAATCTGATGAAATCCACTGTTGGCGTCAAGGCGACTGAAATACTTGGCACGCGCTAGCTCGCTCTCGATTTCCTCGCGCCGTGGGAGCTGAAAATGTTCTCTTTTCAGTGCCCGATTCACGTTTCGAGGGTCCATGCAGATTCTTAATTTGCCATTTTTTTTCCGTACGATGACTAAGGGACTCACCCAGTCGGAGGGTTTTTTAACCTTTGCAATAATGCCTGCGGCCTCCATGCGTTCCAGTTCTTTCTTGAGGGGTTCCCTAAGTGCGTGCGGCACTCGTCTGGCGGGCTGGACCACTGGTACGGCGTCATCTCGGAGTACCATCTTGTACTCCCGTCGTGTCTTGCCAATACCGGAGAACAGCCCCGGGAATTCCGACTCTATGCTGGGGTTGGAGGCCTTGTTCTCCACTGAACTTACTCGGTTCACGAGGCCCAGTTGCTCGCATGCACGAAGACCTAGGATAGCTTGGTTCCTTTTCACCACATAGAAATCGAGCTGCACTGGTCGCTTGTCGACCTGCACCGACAGACGAACCTTTCCGCTGTGTTGAATTTCGCCGCCCCCGTAGAGGCGAAGAATGCTTCTGGTTGGACGGGGTTTCTGCTTCGTCCTGAGCTTCTCAAACAACGCTCTGGGCAATAAGTTTGCCTGCGCTCCCGTGTCGACCTTGATTTTCACCACGGTTCCCTCGATGCGTGTGGTGACAATCCAGTCGCGATTGGAGGAAGAGCGCTCGTTCCCGGTTGCCAAAATTTCAAGAACGTCGGAGTCACCATCGCTTTCGTCCCCTTCGGCCACGTTGTGTACCACTGCCCTTTTACTCCTGCAGCAGACTGCGAAGTGATTCCGTTTGGTGCACTTGGCACATGTCTTTCCATACGCTGGGCACTTCCTCGGCGGATGAGATAAGTTACAATAAGTGCATCTTCTCTGCTCACGCTGTTTGGCTTGTCCTTGTTGAACGGGGTCAATTTTCACAGTTTCGCCATCCCACGCTTTGTTCTGTGCTTCGACACGCTCCTCAGCCTTGCAGCACTCTACTGCTACTTCCAGGGTTAGGTTTTTTTTTCGAAGCAGCTTTTCTCGCAACATCGTGCTCGAAATCCCGTAAACAATCTGATCTCGGAGGAGAGATTCTTTCAAACCTGCAAAGTTGCACGTCCTTGCTTTCAGTTGCAGGTCTCTAAAAAATTGTTCAAACGGTTCTCCTTGAGCTTGCCGACGCGTGCGAAACACGTAGCGCTCGTACGTTTCGTTACATTTGGGCAGGCAGTAGTCTTCAAAAGTCTTGACTAGTACGTCATAGTCGGCTTGCTCCTCTGACGTCAAATTCAGTCTGTTAAACACGTCTATAGCTTCCTGGCCCGCGATATGTAGAAATATGGCGGCCTTCTGTTGCTTACTGCGAGGCTTCGTGGGTTCCGTTGCTAGGAGGTAAAGCTCAATGCGCTGCTTGAACCTTAGCCACGACTCCGCCGCGTTGTCGCCAAGTTGCAGCGGTTCCGGAGGTCGAAGATCTGTCATGATGCCGTGAGCTTTTACCTTTGGACTTCTGACACCATGTAAAGATAGTGCGTTCACGGTCAGTGCCAGCAGCAAGAACAACTTCTTTATTTTTAAGCGCGCGCTCCTTTTGTCTCTTCGCGTGCACGCAGTGATCCTCCCGCTAGCATATGGTACATAGGTTTTTGGGGTTTATGAAGATTCGTAGAATCAAAGAAGATAGCTGAGTTTGAGACGTCTCTCCTTTTGTGTTTTTTTCTTCTACTAAGTGTTTTGCTTTTTGTACTGCCGTCTTGGCCACCGGAAGAAAGAATCACCTCCCACAATCTCTCCTGTGCCCGACTGTTACCGAGCGAGGACTGCACAAAAATAAACCCTATGATAAGTAACAAAAACGTTAACGAGATCCTGCTCTTCGTGAAGATATTGTTTTTATACTTTCCTTAAAATTTCCGGCCTATAAATGAAATACAAATTTCCGCACTGGACGAAAAATGTAATGCCGTTCCTTTTTCCGTTCTCATAAAAATGTAACGAACTCTCGTTCCAGTTCCATCGGTGCGAGAAGGAACGGCGGCGTTCCTTCGTTCCTCCTAAAAGGAAAGCGCTCAAGAAACGCCGTTCCGTACAACACTGGACATAACTCGCGAAAGTGCCCCAACAGAGAAATGCTTCTTTGAAGTCTGGTACTCACCCGCGACACCTGCCATCGCGCTGCCACAGAATCCGAACAAGCGCAAGGCCTCTGCGCGACCCCGACAGGCCCGGGAGGTGCGGCCTTCTCGAAACCGCGTCGGAACCGATAAGCCCGCGATCCTCTCCGGCAAATAGTTGTGTGCCAGATTACACTCCCTCTTTATCGGCAACTCGTGTCGAGTACACCACTCCAGGGTGTAGGCGATACGCTGGGAGTTGGCACGCGGGGTTAGGTTCATAATAGCCGACGAATTTATTGTATTCAAAGAAACTTTCGATCTAAAGCTAAACTGACCTTTAAACGTACCCCAGTGTTCCTGCCGGTTCAAGGGTAAAAACCAGGTGATTATGCCGGGACATTACGTCTCTGTATTGGCGTTCTTCGATTTCTTTAATTCAATTCAATTCGTCTTATTGCCGATTAGGCATTTGCACCTTAATGAAAAGGCAGGTGGAGTGTCCATAGCCTGTTCGATAGTTTGGGTACATTAATATATGACATCTCACGTGTAAAGTGACCAACGCAGGATATTAAGAAAATAGACAGTATTACTACAAAACAAAATATACAGCAAGACTTACATAATCATGGGAGTCATACTAATTTCACTGCACCAAGAGGATGGGCCAAGTGGAGGCATCGGAAGTGTTCGGGAAATTGGGGTTTAGGGTTCCTTAACAAGGGAAGGGGTTGACGGCAGTGGAAAAGGATTTTCACCCCCTCCTCCGAATGTTTACATAGAAATGCCTCAAACGTCTGCCTCTGTGTCCCAGCTGTTCCGACGCCACCGGGCTTACTGCAGGCAGAATGTAAGAGACGTTACAATGGGGATGCGAAGGCTTGCAACCCATAGATAGACCTTTGCGGGATTGGACGCGTCACGCCGGAACGTCACGATGCGGTCACATTGACACATAATACCGACGGATAGTTTTATTCATTCTGCTAGGGGCATAACTGTACCAACACGCACGTTACGAATATAGGCCATTTTTGTTCGTCCAGATTTTGTTAGTTCTTAATGCTTCCTTCATTTTAAAATAATATTATATTGGTAATAATGGTGGTGATACAAACTCTTTCAAAGGCACGTCCCTCTGGTGAATCGCAATAAGGAAAGAAGCCAGTTGTGGTTACGTCCATATACAGAACTGAAGGTCCGTATCGTTTCTAATGATAATGCAAATGATCCGAGCTCTGGTCGCTTCCCAAAGTTCAGAATAGGCTCATCCAGGGCTGTGGACCCACTAACATTGAAATGACGAGCGTCACTCGCTAGCAGGGTTCGGCAAAAATACCATGAAAAGTAATTACTCGTAAACAAAGTAAATGCTTGTACGTGAAAAAATCCGATGAAGGGAAGGGGCAATAAATCTGAAATAACACTTATGGGAGTAAAATTTGTAACAGAGACGCAGGAGCCACGTGTTCCTTCTGGGTTTAATTAAATTGAGTGGCACTGGTTTCTTGCGAGTAACTTCAAATATATAAAAAAAAAATCTGAGTCACAGCCTCCTATATGCTTCCTATATGTCGAAATGTGGCCCTGCTAAGGTGACAAGACGGACTACGGGTACCCAAATCGCGACGTGACGAGTGTAATGTAAGCTGGCTGTTTATACTGACGACAGTGCAACTTTTAGGCTACGCCGTCTTGCCTGCATGTTCATTTCCTCAGATAAAATGTCTGTTACACATTAAACCCGCCGCAGCCAGCACTACGACACCAGGCACCCGATCAGAGAGTGCGAAAATTGACTCGTCACGGCGGTCGTTGATGTTGCGTGTTCGGTATCAGGGTCGACTCTAAATCATGTTCAAAAAGAAAGCGCAGTTTTGATTGGTTTAACCGGTACTAGCAGACACACAAAGACGAAGAGCGCAGTGACGGTGAACTTTTGACGCGACTTCATTGGTTACATCGGGTTATAGATTTGGCAGCGATCTGGCTCGATTTGTAATGCAGTATCTTTCTTTTCGCGGGGAGGGAAGCATCTGTCTAGCGGAATATTGTTTTAGAAGTCAGCAACATTGATTCCCAAGCCGCCAGCAGCAGAAATCGTGTCCGCCATGGCTGAAGGAGGGTCTGACTGCCGTAAGGATCTCCTCTTTCTTTTTATACTACATGTGTGTTACGATGACGCTATTTAAAGTTTTTTCACACATTACGTGGCTCACAATGTGGTCAGTGTTGGGATGATTCACTCGCGATTTATTTGTCGCCTTTTCCTTATAGGGAGTATTCACTGGCAGCCATATCTGTGTGCGTGGTTGCTGAGCGCGTGCTGACGGCGAGCTTCTGCAGCGTGCATTACACACCATCAAGATTGCCGGTCTTAGGAGGCTATTAATGTAAGCTCGTTCTGAGCATGCGCCCTAAACATCGCCCTCAAACATGGCGTCCACTGAATACCCCCTATAGAAGGCGCAGATACTTTTCCGGAACAAACGAGTTGCTCGCAGCTGCGCATGCAGCTCGGGCGCTCGGGTTTGGCTCGGGCCACGGGCTGCTAGCTCCGATCTAGGGTCACAAAATGGGCTGCGCTTACAGTATCGCCACTCCGTTCCCCGGCATTGTTGTGGGCGCCGCCATTTTGGCTCGTATGCAGAGCAGACGCAACTGCCGATCGTCATGATTCAAAAGTGCGACTTCCTCAGATTTAGATTCGTTGTTAAGAAGGTCACGCAATATTGCTTTGCTCTGTTACGAACTGTTTAAACATTTGTGGAGGGCGGAAAGGCGTTTCCTGTGATTTCAGATAAAGCTTCTGATAACTGGCGACCATGATTTTAAGACACAATATGGCCAAGTGTCGTTACTCTGAAGCGTAGCTTATTTAGTGGCACTACTCCGATCCAAGGCGAGCTAAGTTTTGATCGCCCTGCATCACCGTGCCCTGCATTCACCGCTACCGACAGTTCTTTGACTGCTTTTATTTCCGACTGACTCCCAAGCTGCAACCACGTTCGAACCATTCGGACGTACTTTATGAACACTCTATTCGCTGATGGTGTTGTGGGTTGGTAGTGCATTCGGGTTTTCATTGTTTGCAGTAGCGTCATTTGAGAGTAGATGGAGTCGCTCACGCAACTGACGCCCTGACATCATGTATCGGCATGGCCGGCGTTCTTCGCTTGTTCGTCGAGTGTAGTTTGGTACCGACAAATTCGCGGCGGCGTGATCTAATCGCTCCACAGAATTCAGCTTTTAGAGGCGAGCCTGTACAGATCACACACGAGTCATGGTCCTATTGGCGACGTGTGCCTTCAAAGGCGGTGCTGCAATCGGCTGTCCACGATTGGAAAAATGCTCACTATGACGTCTATAGGGTACGACTATTTCTGCTCTCATAAACTGAAATAAGAACAAAGTCAGACTCTCTCAACCTTGACGGTGTCGATTTCGGACATAGACTCCTCTCAGACAAAGCCTGGCAGATCGCCAAGAGAAGCTGCCGCCGAAAGTGAAAAGGTAGAGCGGCATACATGGATGGATGAATGGATGAATCCGGCTGAGCCCTTTGGATCGGGCGGTAGCTCACGCCACCAAGCCATTTTGTTTTGCCATTTAAGCTAAGAATATTTAAATGTGAAAACTATATCCACTCCGCACTTAAAAGAAAGTGAGGCTATAAAACCCCCTTGCCATTAGTCAATAAAAAATACCTAGTTTTCTCTCGCTTTCTGCCACCATTCACTTAATCTTTGCTTGGTCATCTCTACTGTCTCTTCCTTCGCTGTCTCTAAAACCCAATGACTTTATTAAATCTGTGTTGTCTTCGGTAGGCATAGGGTGAAGCCCTTTGCAGCAGAGTATCAAGTGCTCAGCCGTCTCGTCCTCCTCTCAGCAAGCAGCGCGCACTGTATCCATTTCCTGGTACTAAACACTTGTCCTTGCCTCAAACAACAATGAGCTTCCCCTAGAATCGTCATAAATGCTTTCTTTGGCAATAACTGTTTTGTTTAATCTATAGCTTTCCAGAGCCGTCTTTGTCTGCATTCCCTCCAGCCATCGATCTCTTTCTGTGGCCTTAACTGTCTTCTTAACTGAGACCTGCTCTTCCGTAACTCCACTACAGCCTAAAAACTTTCCTCTTAATTTCCTAGTGCACTGTCTCCACTTTGTGTCTACACTCCTCATGTATAAATAGCTGAAAACCTTTCGTGCCCATTGCTCCCCATCCATTTGCCTCAACCGATCCTCAAATTTTATCTTGCTCACAGCTTCCCTGCCCTCAAATGACGCCCATTCCATGTCTCCTTGTACTCTCTGGTTTGGCGTTTTGCAATGTGCCCCGAAAGCCAGCCTACCTACTCCGCGCTGTTTTATTTCTAGTCTTGCATGCACATCGGATTTCATGCATAGCACTGGGTTTCCAAAAGTCAAGCCAGGCACCATGACTCCTTTCCAAATCTCTATCACCACCTCATACCTGTTGTAATTCAAATGTGGTTTATTTTTCATTACAGCTGCATTTCTGTTGCCCTTACCTATTATATACTTTTCATGCTCACTGAGATATTTTGCACCATCTCATATCCACACTCCTAGATACTTGTATTTACTAGCTCTCTCAGCTGTAATATTCTGTATCTTCAGCTTCTCAACGTCATCATTGTTAAAAATCATGACTGCTGATTTTTCACTACTGAATTCTAAACCTAATTCCTCTTCTTCCCTACCACAGATGCTCATTAATTCCTGCAACTCTGTGATGTTGTTAGCCATCAGTTCGATATCATCCGCATACATCAATCCTGGTAAGGAATGCTGAATTTTTTGGCCTAGCTTACTGTACGGAAGGTCGAATCCAAGCCCACTCTTCTCTAGTCTATCCTCCAATCCTCTCAGATACAGCATAAACAGCAAAGGCGATAACGGGCGCCCCTGCCTAACGAGAGGCATTAATAGGCTCCCCGCTGCGGCGAGACGCCGAAACACACTTGTCCCGAGCGATGGAATGTTCGCTCGTGCTTCTCGCTTTCCTCGCGCGACCGGTTCTTTTCTCGTCGGGTGTGAAAAGAATGTTTCGGGTCCTCGCCGCTGAAAAGCTGTGCGCTGACTACAGGCTCCCCAAGATATGCTCGCTGCTACCAGATCCTCACGCTCTAATTCTGCGAACGGGCACTCTAT